GGCTCTTTTGGATTTTAATTTTCCTAAGGCTAGTGCCCTACGCTATGTATCTTTTTTTTTCAATGTTTCAGGAAATACCATACGTTTCTCCAGTCTTTCCCTTGCTCCAGTAAGGAAACCACATGTGGCTTAGAAATGTTAAAACCTGCTTGCGGAAATGAAATAAATTCACAATTAGTCCCTGAATCCTTACGAAAGAGGGGCCGTTATTAGAAATGCCAGATGTAAGAATGAAAGATTTCTAAAGATTAGGTGAAGTTCTAATCCCCCTCTGAAAAGCTAATAAAGGACTTCCCTGGCTATCCAGTGGTTAAGACTCTGCACTTCCACTGCAGGGGGCTCAGGTTCAATCCCCTTGTCAGGGAAGTTCCCATGCCATGCAGTGCAGCCAAAAAAAAAAAGAAAAGCTAATTAAAAAAAAAACAACTTACCTCCCTTGGGAATGTTCAGCCAGGTAATCAAGATTCGCAACAGCCATCCTAAAGGTCAAATTCTGACTGAGGGGAGATGAGGAGAAATACCTACCCAGTGAGACCAGGTGGCCATAGTTCTCCAACATTACATGTCTGTACAAATCTCTTTGAGCAGGCTGGAGCCATTCCCACTCCTCCCGGGAGAAGTCTACAGCCACATCTCTGAATGTCACTGACCCCTGAAATGACACACAGACATCTGCACAACCAGCACCCATGCTCCCAAAGGCCCTGATCAAGGAGTGAAATGAGTCCCACTGTGGATGGTGGACAGTGTATACAAGTAGCGCAATGACAGTTTTCAGGATTCTGAGTAATTATTAAGAGTATAAGTAAGAGACTAGCTGTTTTGTTTTACTGTATAATTGGAGAAAAGACGAAAAAATATACATGCTTTGTCCTGAGATAATTTACAATTTTGTGGAAGATAAAGGACTATACATATGAACAACATGGATTTCTGGCTTTAGTTGCAAAAATTCTTAAGATCTCACCACGCTTTATAAATAATGAAGACAATCCCTTTACATGTAATAGGGAGAGTATATTTTCCTTAATACCAGCCTATTTTAATATGATCTGGCAAGAATTTCTTCGTAGGCACAACTGGCTGTAGCAGAGAGCACCAGCTCCCGATTAAGGGGTACACATTCAAGTTTACCACAGCTAACCCCGTTTCTGAAGAAATAGCTGTGATACTTAGCAATGTCGCCGAACAAGACGCTGAAGGCTACAGTACAAGGGCCTCCCAGGATGGAACCTGCAGCTTCTTCCCTTGGGGTCAGGATGAGTAATAATCCCCTGCTTTGCAGCCTGGTTTTGCAGCACTTGAGTGACCCACATAGCTGTTAGGCATGAACAGGGATTTTTAAAAGTCCCAAACTAGTAACAGCCCCAGAGATATGACAGTTATATTTTACAGTTTAAAAAAAACTTTAAGTGCCTATAATCTGTTATAGATTATTGACTAATAAAGGAAGCTGTTTCCTAATGTAAACAGGCTCTGCAGAACAGAAGGAAACTGGACTCCCAGCAAAAGTTGAAGAGCCTCTGGCTTTGGAGACAAGTATAGCAGAAAGTAGGACAGAGAAGTGACACTAAAACCAGATGGACTAATTTGGAAGGGCTGGCCTTCTTATCCCCGACCTCTGTGAAGCACAATTGCCAGCCACGCATTTAGCCTCCACCAAAACAACAATCATCAGTGTTCCTTGCTAGAGAAACTTCACGTCTTGCCTAAAAAATGAGCTCGGTGAGTTCGGAGATTTTGTTTTGCTCCCCGCTGATCCCCAGGACCTAGGAAGCGCCGTGCAGGAGAATCACGTGGAGGGACTGTTAACGTGCAGACTGCCAACCCGCACACGCACAGGTTCGGGTTCACAAGGCTGGGGTGGGGCTCGCGAATACCCAAGTCCAGCAAGTTACCAGGTGATGCCGACAGAGCTGATCCAGGATCACGCACTGTGACCACTGATGCAGGCGTGGAAGGAGACGCCCAACGGAAGCAGGAGTCAGCGAATGAACGGCAGCGGGGGCGAGGGGCAGAAAGTGAAGCCCTCCTCGTTCCAATTCCGGGGAAAGGAGGCGCAGGACAGCCCGCTCTAAGACCCGGCCGCCCGGTCAGCGCCCGCCCCCGCCAGCCCTCCCACGTCCTCTTAGGCGCCAAAAGGGCGGCAGGGGGAGGAAAGCCTGTGTCCCCAGTCCAGAAAACACAGCCGCGCTGAGGAAAAAAGGAAACACCAGCTCACCTGAGACATGGCTCACGGCAGGGCCCGCGGAGAACCGAGAGTGGAAGGCGGAGCTGGCGGGGAGAGCGACGAGCTGACGCGCGGGCCTGCGCCCGGGCTCCGCATCCACCGCCCTCGTCACGAGAGTCAGGGACGCCCGCGACAGCTCCCTCCCCACCGCGGCGGGGGCTCCGAGCCTGGGCCCGACCCGCGCCCCCAGCGCCGCTGCGTTTAACGGAGCCGCAGCTGGGGCGTCTCCTCCGCGCTGCTGGCCGGGCAACCAAGGATTCCCGAGCTAGGGGCAGGGCCACCGCCCCCAGCCCCCCAGGCCCCGGCGGGGACAAGCTCGGGCAGGGCGGGCCCTTCCCCTACCTCGGCCCGCGCAAGCAAGGCTCTCGGCTCTGCGACGGGGACCTCGCGCTAGCGTCCCGCAAACTGCGCCTTCCAGAGCCTCAGAGACCGAACGCGACCAGGCCGCGGGCCTCAGACAGCTCTCCTTCCCAGGACCCACCGCGGCCTCGGCGCGTCGCGGGCAGAGTGCCCGCCCCACCCCCTACAACTCCCAGGACGCCCCGCGCCCGTGACAGGGATAACGGGGGTCTCAAACAACTACAGTTCCCAGGGTCCACCGCGGCCTCAGCCTGAGGCCTAGCCCTCCACGCTCGGACTACAACCCCCAGAAACGACTGCGGCCCCAGCCGTTCCATCCAGGACCTCCAGCCCTGACCACGGCAGTAGCAGGACCCGCAGCCCCGAGAGGTCACTACTCTCAGAGCCTGGAGACCCGCGGGGCGGCCCAGCCATGGCGGCCTGAACGACGACAGCCCGCACGCTGAGGCCGGACTGGCGACCTGTGCGCGTGAGCAGAGGAGGCAGCCGGGCTCCCCTTGCAGCCCTGCTGAGGGAGCCCGCGATTCCTGGGGGCTTCCTTCTCCCTGCGCTGGTGGCTCGGTCCCGAGCACGGAGGAGGTCTGGGGACTAAGCACCTACAGAGCTCCAAGCCCAGGGGATGGGAGGCCGGGTGCAAGCTTTGTATTGAAATGGGAGGGTTAGGAGAGAGACTGGGCCCGCTGAATCATGGAACATTGTTCTAAGTGGAGCCAACAGTTTATGAGTTTATGAAAAAAAGATTAGGAGACAACAAAGGAAAATGGTGTGTTATCAAACAAAACTTGGGTTCACTCACCTGACCCAGTAAAGCCGATCTACTGACACTGGGTTGTGATGAAGGAAAGTGCAGCGTTTATTGCAGGCGCCAAGAAGGAGTCCAGGGAACTAGTTCTTAAAAGGCCTGAACTCCCCGAAGGCTTTCAGGGAAAGGTTTTTAAAGACGGGATGAGGGAGGGGGCTTGTGGGGTGTGTCATCAGCTCGTGGACGTTCTTCTGATTGGTTGGTGGTGAGGTCATCAGGAGTCAACATCATTAACCTTCTGGTTCCAGCTGGTCTGGGGTCTACGTGCTTGTGGGCAGCCTACAGTTTACTTCTCCCACCTGGTAGGGGTTTCAGAGCTGCAAAACAGCTCAAAGGACACGGCTCAGAATAGTATCTACAGCCCTTCAGGAAGAACTAAAAGGTCCTTGGCTTTGTTTAATGGCTAAACTATTATTATTTTGTGTTGCTTGACTATTTTCCTTCCTTTCTGCATTTTCTCACTTCTCTGATTAAATTTGTTCTTTGGAACTTGGGGAAGGCCTAGAAGGCTAAAGTTTTTCTACAAATAAGAGGCAGGTGGAGAATGAGGCAGGGGTTGCGGGAGAGTCTGTCCTGGGAAGACCCCATGGGGTCCTGCTTGGTTAAACTCCACTATAAAAACTGGAAGAGAAAAAAGGAAGAAAGAAATTCACTGGCCTGGTGAAATAGAGGTCAAAGGAGAGGTGGCTTGAAAAGAGAAGAGACTGAAAAAGTAAGCATCCTTGTGAAGGAATGTTCATGCTGTGAAGTGACAAGACAATGAAGAGTTTTAAAGAGGCTGTGACGTCTCATGTGCAGTGTGGTGCAGAGTGGTAAGGGTGAACCAACAGGAAGAAGGACTTGAGCCAGGAAGGCCACTGAAGGCAGTGCTTCTGTATCCTGGGGCCCGGGAGCTGGGGCTACGGAAGACTGATTCAGGAAACAATTTAAAAGAAGAATGTAAAGGACCTGGTAATGAATTGGATACATGGAGGAACTAGGTTTCTTGCTTGGGTGAAATGCTTCCAGAAGTACATTCTTTAAAACCCCTTCTACCACTGTTATCCACTCTCATGACTTCAACTTCCATTTATACAACTTGCCCAGATATTTTGGTTAATCATCATATTTCACTATGATGATAAAACACAGGAAAAGACAAGTCTAGGATAGAAGAAATGGATTCATTTGGGACATGCTGAGATCAGCGTATCCGTGTTTAATCTTAACTACTAATCTTGTCCAAACTATTATTTCTCACCTGCATTCTTGCTGTAAGTTCACATCAATTTCCTCCAAATCTTTTCTTTATACAGAAAGAAAAGAAAATGTTTATAAAAGCAATTCCAAATATATTCCTCTGCTTAATATAATTCGATGGCTTTTGATTGCTCTGAAGTAAAGGCAAAAGTCCCTAACATGGTCCTCAGTACTCTGCATGATCTTACCCCTGTCTTTTCAAGCTCTTATGGTATTTCCCTTCTCTCTGACTGTGCTATCCTTCTTTCTCTATATACCATACATTGCAGGACCTTTGAGCATGTTAATTTTCCCTAACCCTGAAAAGGTTATCTATCCCTTCATACAATAACATAATTAGTACATTTCAGTTTATCCTTCATATTTCAGCTCAAGCAACTCTTACTCAGAGAAGTGTTCTCTGATCCCAGTGTGATCTCCGAATAAGGTTCCTTTGATTGTAAACTCTCCTTGAATCCTATACTTATTCTCTTTATCATTTACAATAATTTGCAATTGTATTTGTAATTATTTATGTGTATTTATGATTATTTGTTAGTAATTATCTTCCTCACTAGCTTATAAGCACTGAGATACACCCATAACTAGCACATTGCTTGCCACATAGGGCTCAATGAATGACAAATGGACAGCATCAAAATTTAATATTGTTGCATGGTGAGTGAAAATATCTTGCTTTAATGTACTTTTTGCGAGACTAAACAACTGTTTATTGACTAGGTCTTATTTATCTTGTGTGAAATACCTGTTCATGTCCTTTGCCTATTTTTCCATTAGGATCCCTTTTTATTACTGATTTGTAGGAGTTCTTAGTGTGGTGGGATTTTATAACTTTTATATGTATGTTTCAGATACAGCATATTCTCAAAAGTCATTACTTGTGTTTTCCCTTTGGGGTTGTGTGTGTGTGTGTACATGCAGTAATTTGAAATTTTTATGCAGTCAAATCTATCAGTCTTTTCCTTTCTGACTTTTGAATTTCTCTCATTTAGCAAGGGTATCCACATACCAAATTTTA